AACCAGCAATACCCGTTCCTACCCGATTTTGAGGGTTAAGACTTGGAACGTTGAGCCGAGGGGTGGGTGGGTTTTGTGACCTTAGCGCGCCCATGGCGTGCCCGGTCCCTAGAAACCTGCGAGGTGGGTTGGGGGACTCTATCCTCAAAGGACAGGCGCTCTTGAATGCAGCGTGGTTTGCCACGCTGTGCAGAACGTGGCGGGGTAGACTAATGAGAAGTCGTAGCAACGAGCAAAAGCTGTGCTGCTAACCCGGTCCATAAACTTATCTACCATGGAAGCTACCCTATCGAGCAAAGTCTCTTCCAGGAGTGCTGTCACCGTGGTCTGGACATGGACCGGTAAAGGCTCAATCCATAGCTTCCTGTCCGAATGGACATCGGGTGGTCCGGCAAGGGCTCTCAGGTGAGCTAGATGCTGGCTGGGTTTGGCGTCACCCATTGGGTGGCGTGCCAATAGCTTCCACAGCCTTTCCTCCTTGGATGGAAGAAGAGCATCGAGGATGGCTGATTTCAATTTATCAAAAGAGTACTCCTGAGGGGGATTCAAAACTAAATTCCGCAAAGAAGACAGCTGGTCACCCGGGATGGTTTTCAGTGCCAACACAAACATGGTGCGTTGATTCTTAGCATTTCCATGAACAAACTGCAGCTCTAAAGCTGCTAATCATACCTCGGGGTCATGAGAAAATACCGGTACCGCCTAACAAACGTTTGCGTTAAAGCACGAAGGCGAGAGAACGAAGGAGCGCGATAACAAGCAAAACGGAGCGAAAGTGAAAAGTGAAAGTTCCCTTCGCGGAAGGATACAGCAGTTTTCAATCGGATAAAACAAACGTCACATTGCGTTGGTACTGAAGTGAAAAAAACAGCTTGCAACTGACCTAGATCTTCAAATGAGGGTACATTTTTTCTGCATATCCCAAATCAGACGATCTGCCATCAGGGTACAATTTGACTCCACTATCATCATACGAGGATGGGGCTGTTTCTATAACCAAATCTATAAAAAGGTTAAATAGAAAAGAAGAGAAAGGACAACCTTGATGAACGCCACTTTCCTTGGTGAACTCGGGTGAAAAAGTGCCGGAAGCTCGGACACACGGCTTTGGATGTTGGTATAAAGAGATTGACCGTACCACTCCGGAAAAGGTGACTGCATCTCCTATGGTTAGCGCGAACATCCAATCCGTGTTTGGTGGTATAGCAAACTTGAGCAACCGCGGAATTCTTCTGATCCCACCAACAATTTTTTTTGTTCGCAAGAATCTTGGTTAAACGCGGATGTTGAGGACTCACTTGTGTGTCAAGAACGCTATATATTTGATTCCGTCAAGGCAGAGAAAGATTTTATAAGAAGACTGGAAGCAATGCCGTTGCGTTCCTCAATTCCTCTTGGTGCGGCAAGTTGCATATCATGTAAGGATATTGACTGTCTGACTCTGTCTTATAAATCCTTCTTTTTTGTGCGGATGACTGTTAGCCGTCGGAATCTTTCACCGCATTGCATCAATGCTCTCTCCTCAGACGGTCTCCGTGGAAAACTTCAACATTTCTTTTTGATTCAAATGTAGGAATAGAAACTTGCACAGGGTTTAAGTCAACTACAAAAGCACAACACGATACATTTCTGTGCGCCTGCTATGTTTACCAAGGGACCGAAGCTCCTCTCAGCACAATTTGTGCTTTACTTTCCACACGAATAATTACATTCTAACCAAAATAATGAATATATAACCTATGACACAAAACACTTAGAAGAAATGGTAGAATTTAGTAGTTTTGAGATGGGAATAATTTCGGGAGCTCTCTGTACTTGTGGACGCGCGATTGAACGAATTTGTTGAGCATCATCAAGGTCGCATCCACTGGGGTTTGGATAATTTGTTTTTAGAGAAAAAAACGAAGTTAAGCCATTAGGGTCGAGAGCTTGAAACGGAGCTCAAAGTTATCATGTATAGCCGGATAAATAAACGTGGGATTGAGTGCATTCATTTCACGTTCGGGCAATCATCCCTTGTCCACACCACATCCGAATCTGTACATGCACGTCCGTGTTATATCTCGACAGTCAAATAATTGCTTAGCAAATGATGAATTGACACGTCTATATTCTCCTGTGGTCATCAAAAACATTACATTACTATTTTATTTACGTGAACTTACTGTGATCTTGTAAATCGTGTCCCGAACCCAAAGTGTAAGCACTTTATGGGATTTTTGATAAGCGAAGTTTTTGTAAGTTTTTCCCCTAATGAAAACTTGCATTTGTCTTGAATTTATTCTTGAGGAAGTGTGAAAGACGGTTGACAGCTGCGGCATTGTAAGTGAATTATCTTTAAGAAGATAATTTGATATGACAATCAGTGAAGCACAGACAAATGTAACGAAACTATTCCAATGCGTGTCATAGCCAAGAGAGTATCTCAAGCCATCTGCAATTGTTTCCGGTTACATAGTTTGAAACAAACTAATCGCGCAAGTGTTAAAATAGACTCCACGACTGACTCCGTGCTCACAAGTTATGATAGAAAATGACTGATTGACTGATTCACGTAGTTAAATTCAAATAAGTTGACCTTTGTTTGGTTCGATTTTCAGTTACATACACCATTCAGGACTCACGGTTCGTTCGTTTTTCGAGCATCTTATAATACCACTTTCACATAATCGATAGTCATCATTTTCTTTACCTCTGTGCTCGCAGCCGGAGCGACTGAAGAGATATGCAAATGTACCTAACCATAAACTTCTCTGGCATGGCACCAACATCGGTGTGGTTGCTGCAATTCTGAAAACTGGACTGCGAATTATGCCGCGTTCGGGTGGTCTGGTGGGCAAAGGGATCTATTTTGCCTCGCAAGCTGCCAAATCCATGTGTTTTTGTAAGTTCAGTTTGATCGTATTTCAGCACCGTTCACTGCTTCAGTTTTGAATCAACAATTTCTTTCACGCCTTGCAAAATTACAATCCAAGGTTGATGTGTGTCAAGTGGTTTGCAACTCATTGTCAGTTAGTTCGTCACAGTCAACGGCACACTGGTTTTGAAACATGTTTCGTTAGAGATTGAAGGCGATAAAATACAGTGCGGATTTCGGTGTACACACCGCCTTACTGTCCGAAACTGCTTGAAGGATGGTATTCTGCGATTATTTTGGAGTGCATTCATTGTACACGGACTGACAAACACACTCGGTCCACCCGAATAGATAAGTTAGAAGTGGAAAGTTTGATTTATTTCACAATTCTTGTCTTTATGATTTAAAATGTGTAATCAATGGTATTGACCGTTTGTCTCACCCTTCCGAGATGCTGACGCATTTCCAAGGGTTTAGACATGCCACAGACACTTCATACTTAGCTCAGCTCACCATCAGTATCAAAAAGTCGATCTCGTTGTTGAGTTTGGTGATGTCAGAACCATGGTTTCTTCAAACGGGCCAATCCCTTAAACACCATCGAAAAACAAACCTGTTTTGGATCCGGATCCCGAGACTTATATTCGTTTCGCTTCACACTTCAGTTATTCGGTATTTTTCGATTCGAGGAAATGTGTGCTTCTCGAATTGCCTACCCCACTTATATGCACCAGGATAGGTGGGTTACTTGGTGATTATCCCGGGGGTTGATGGATGTTTTCCATAGGGAATAATTGACAATCGAAACTCATTGTTTCAAGCGCACAATTTCAAAACATCTACTGCTCACGCGAGCTGAATTGTTTGTTTTGTTTGTTTTTATTTCAGGTGGTTATGATCCCCATGGTCATCGGTTGATGTTCTTGGCTGAAGTGGTTTTGGGGAAAGAGCATTACATCTACACACCAGATCGATCAATTAGGAAGCCTCCAAAAGGTTACGATAGTGTGGTGGCATTTGGTACCCATGAATCGAGTGAGTCAATTGTATTATATTGTATTGTATTGTATTGTATTGAAGCCTTATCGAGTTATATAGAAGCTTTCAGCCACGAAAATAAACCACTTTTACAATCCTGGTAGAAAAGAGGTGAAAAAGTGGAAAGTAAAACGTGCAAAAATATACGTTAACTGCAAAGTGTATTAGAAAACTAAGAAGGAACACTTTCTTTGTCGGTCAGTATCCGGGAAAGATAGGGTACCAACGAGTTTTTGTATGCAGGTATGCGGGACGGAATAGGTTTGTACTTTGAACGAGTGGAGGGGTGGGATTTGCGTGCACACAAGTCAATGCGTACAGGATGGGTGCATTCAGATAGGGTATTGTCAGAAAACTTCAAACACGCATCAATATGGGCATCACAAGTATTGGCAATCAAAACAGATAACGGAACTTGGGAGACACGGCTGACCATTGAGAGGCCACGCCTCAGCAACTTGAAATCTACCTTCAGCAAACCAGGGGAATTTACAGGAGAGCAGTACAAAGGTATAGGGAGAACATTTTGATGGATAAAAGCCTCTATCCCCGAAAAATCAGAACAGAAGTGGCGCAGTCTTCTTCTTATCTGAAAAGAATTAACTTTCAGTTTGCGACCTAACTACTTTACAGGCTCATTCGGCTCATCGATTTTCTGTGAATCTGTACACTGTCGGAGGAAGACGGGGTACGGTTTAGAGTAAAAATGCATTCAAGGCATTTTTCGGCAATACGATTAAGATCGGATGAAGTGGAATACGGTACGAGGTGGGATAGTTTTGTGTTATATTCAACCAGTTATAATTGGCTAGATACGGAAACAGAAATTGCGATATCATCAGCATACCTAAAATTTCGTACAGGAGGAGTATTAGGTAAGTCACTGATATCAGCCACAAAACGATATGGTGATAGGTCAGCACCTTGAGAGAGTGCTGTGAAGTTATGGTATTTTAGTTCCTCACCCGTCCATTGTGCAGACTATTGCTTTTGATCGTATCTCATAGTGATCACGTATGGTCGGCAGATTTAAAGCACATTTAGATGATCATGAAGTACACACGTGTTCATACACCACCTTTCGTGACTTATAAGGTCTGATTTAAATTCAGTCTTGTCACACCCCCAAAGTTCACCTATTCCTAGCTAGTTCATTATATGTACAAATTAAATAGAAAAAATACGGGGAATGGTGACATAGTTGCATTGAAGCAGGCTAGCCTACAGTCTTGTGTATGCGAAACGCTTCAGACACTCTACAAGCTCCACTACTGTTGGTGTTTTGCAGTGAACCAGTCACATGGTTATTCGCATCCCAACCCGGATCAGAGGAGATGCCTTATCCGACTAATGGCTTGAAGTTGAGCCTATGCCTGTTATTCTGTAAGCATTTTTTTCACTATATGATGTGTAAGAATAGCAATATCCCAAACCAGTTGTCCGTTCACCACTCACTCAGCTTCTCAAAGCTATCATGAAAATATTCAAACGTTTGGAATAGTAATTGCTACTGTTTCAATGCGGCGATTGCTCGAGTTAAAATTATCCGCTAATGAAGCTGGGGCATGCATTGGATCTAGTGTGAACAAGTCAGCCCCATACCGGGTATGCCGTGAAAGAAAGGGGCAACTTATCTTTCTGGTGTTGTGTAGCTGAAACCAAAACCAACTCAACTGTGAGATACTTTACGTATAAACGAACATATGTTTACAAGTGTCTCGTGTGATGATAGTACGGAAAACTGAGTACAATATCTGACATTTGCCGGACCTCAGGCGCCTCTCCACATTTGACTTACATGTTCGCATTGTTAGTCCATTACCAACCAACCCATCGTAGTGTTTCCTTTACACAATTGGTTTATACGGCTGTATTGTTCCACGCGAGAAACTTCANGTTTCCGTGCTCACTGGTCTCCACCACTTTGGTATGTTTAACGCATATTGCCGTTAGCGCGAACTGGTACACCCCCTCTACTACGGTTGCACAATGCACGTGGGTTGCAACCACACGTCTTCGGATTTGACCGGTCGTAACTGGTTTGCTTGTGTGCGACGGGATCTGTCCATAGGGGGTCAGTCACGCTTGGTGGCAGTCGACTTACGCAAAATTCACAGTACCATTGGCTTGGAAAGATGATCGCTGCTGAATCCGAATTCGGTGAAGCACTGAATGAACAAATAGCCCCAAATCGTTCACCACAATGGGAGCAAATGACAGATGATCTGTTTCGGCAACCTTTCATTTTACATGTCCATCTGAAACTGTTTAGATTTTCGGAGACGAAGTTCAATGAACGGGAATCGACGGTTTACTTATTATCTGCAATGACCAACGAAAATTCCCTTCTGTCGACTCGATCTCTGACGACCAGCCCACCCGTTTGTTGTTGTTGTTGTTGTTGTTTTGTTGTTGTTGTTGTTGTTGTTGTTGTTGTTGTTGTTGTTGTTGTTGTTGTTGTTGTTGGAGAACATCACTATCTCTTAACATTTTCCTGTATATCAACGCCGCAATACCCGATCCAGAAGCATGCATAAATTTACGTTTTCCAACTGATAAAAGCAACGATCACTTAGTGTTCCCTGTAGGATGATGCATCTTATCATCTAGTTGTAAGTCGAGGTTCTTTGAAGCAGCAAGCTCCAGTTATAAACACATCATCAGCACTCGCCCTCTGACTGTTTGCCTTGAATCAGAGGAACAAATTAGGACAAAGACGACAACGCACTCTGAAAGTTGAACAATACCCTGCTGTGTAATTACCCGTTAGTGATGTAAGGGTAGTCCAAATACTAGGGATCTCGATTCCGTCGTTTCTGTTGACGCATGCAGAGTGGGTGTTAACGGCATACAAGCATTCGGTGCATGTTCAAAATCCTAGTTGGAGTATTTCCCGGTTATCGTAGTCTGCAGGTGTGACCTTCGACTATGACATGGAGAGCGATCGTTGAGTCTCTTTCCAGTTTTGCCAGAGTTGTTTTGTCTGTAGGCTGGTGTTTTCTTTTCTCTTATGTTCGGTTATCCTTGGCTTAAGTTGTCTACTGGTCTGTCCAATGTATTCTGCTGGGCATTCTTTAAAACTGATTTTGCAAATGCAGTTACTTTGATCTTGCAATTAGATCGTATTTCGGGCTTTCATGAGATGGTGTTTCAATATGTTGTCAACCAGAAAGAATGTGTGTATGTTGAAATCACCGAGAATCTTTCTGGTTGCTTCTGAAGAGCCTGATCTATATGGAATGTTAATTAAGGCTACACGATCTTTTTTGTCTTCAGATTGCATCATTGATTTTTTCGCTTCTATCTGGCATGTTACCAGGAGTGGCGGATAATTAATGACTTCTCGTACTTTAATGATACGTTTCAGTTTCATTTGGAGGTTACTATCTTCATTACAGAGCTTTCGACTCTGTCAGCCAGAGAAGAGATGAGATTCCGTTTTACAAATTGCATATGAGCTGATTCAAAATGTAGAGGTTTATCCGAATGTGTGGTTTTTCTGTGAGTACTTGTGGTAAATTTCCGTGAGTTGTTCACCTTGAATCATACCATTCACGAGAAAAAAGCAAGTTTTCAAAACTGATGGACCAAGGAACTCTTGACAACTACTTGCCGTGAATCCGGAAAGTCTCGTTAAAAAGCTATCAACCATGGTCCTGGTGCCCATTAAATTACGACTACTCGAGAAGGGTTTTAGTTTCAACCTTCATTGAAAACCCTTGATGGTACAAAAAGTTATCCCCTATCTGGAACAGGCCTTGTCCAAACTTCCAGAAAACAAAGCTAACCAGGCACGATTAAGGATATGTAATATTCTCAAGAAGCAATAACCGATTGCTCCGAACGTCATATCAGAAGAAGAAGATCAAAAATTGAAAAATATCATCAAATTATATATTAAAAATCTTAGAAAAGTTATTTAAATTGTTTAAAACTAGCCGCTTTTAGAATGAAATAAGAATAATCAAACCCTCATGGGGTGCCGGATGATAATTTGCCCTTCAAATGATACGAAGAATTGTTGATTTAGTTCTTCCAAATCAGGAACGAGGCTCCCACCTGTGCCAAAGATTTTCTTTAATGCCGACCCCATTCAGCACCTGGTCTTGGTACTCAGACTGGGCTTGACATGGATTCAATTCAAATGCTATATCTCTGTCTTGTTGAGAAAAGATGAGAATGGATAGTCCTAACATCGTTCGGCCCGCTATTCATATAAGGGTGAGGAGGTTTTAGAACAGGCAATGAAAATCTGTCGGCATCGATGTATACAGTCTCGGTAGAATATGAGGAAATAGAAAAGTAAGTTGGAAAAATCATATCTTTCAGTCCACGCACACGCTATGGATGTTTGCTGATGGTGATCAATTTGTACAGTGGTCGGGCGTGCTAGCACGAGCTCCGGGATATTTGCAAAAATGCAATCATGGCTGGGCCTCAAACCGAGTGGAAAAGTATACAAGAATAATTAAACCCAATGTTGCTCAGAAACAGACAGCGAAACGACTATTTTGCTGATTTAATTCGTATGGTTTTGAACTTCAGTGCAACAACACTCGGCGGCCAAATCTTTTGTCCATCGACTCTCTCTCTCGTGCTACTTCAAACCCCCGAGAAATGAGCACCACGCCAAGTTACGTTGGAGGAATCATAATACGATCATTAAGACAAGGAATTACATCCGGTATTTTGGCCAACTCCCTACCTCCTCGAGGAGAACACAAACCATCAACTTTTCATGTATACTGATCATCCGTATTTTGATAACCGACAGAAAACATCCAAACTCAGGACAGGTTCCAAAAAACAAACTGAAGTCTATTAACCGGGATTGGGTGAACGTGGAGACAGACTGACTCAGTGTGTTCTCTGCAGCTGAAATTCTTGTAAAAAAAACAAATTACACGGCATTCATCCCGTGCAAGCACAGCACCGATGCCAGTCATTGATACATCAATTATAAGAGTATAATTTAGTGTGAGATAAAAAGGTTGTAAGAATGCTTTAATGCTTTAATCTGTGCTAATGCTTCAAACAGGTAAATAAATAAATGTTGGAGTACCCAAAATGTTTGGAACAAACGGGGAAAAGTATCACAGAGAATCAGCAAAAATCTGAAGTTCGCCAATGTTCTTTGAACTTGTAATAAAGAGGGAACGTAAAACTTCGGGGCACAAATTACTTCGCAGTAGCCTACACCGACGAAGGTATTTTCTTTTGGAACCCTGACCGGGGCCTTTGGCTCAAAACTTCGGTCCCTAAGGGAGTGGGACGTAGATTCAACGCTGGAGCGTAACCGAAGCACCCATGTGGGAACTTCTGGCGACATGTCACGCAAGATCCTCTGGTTTCGGATCAATGTATTGTTTCTGGGACATTCATTACCGGTCCACTGTTAGGGATTGGCTTTTAGTCTCATGCGCAATCAGACAAGTGGAGCCTGGACGGGACAGTATCTTATTGGCTGGGGGCTGCTAAGCTTAGTTGGGTCACATTTGCCCAATTACCTTCAAAGATCCATCGATCACCCATGAATTCATGACCGATTGAAAGATAGATAGTAGCCGAAAGGGATAGACGAAATGGTAGTAACTTGTAATCATAATAACGAGCAAATGGTGATGAATCCGCGGTGTACCAATATGAATCCTCCTATAACAATATCTGGAGGTCTACATATGAAATCCATCACGGAACGTTGAAACGAGACAAATATCTTCTGGTTCAGCAGAGATGCAAGTCTATCGCCTCAGTTCGGTATCTAATGAAATTCTGTAATCAACACCCATTTCTGGTACCTTGCAATCTGACTTCAATGGTGCCACAATCGGAGTGGCCCATTTGGGTGATTGGAATCAGTTT